CATCAAACCTTCTTTCTGAGGTCACATGCTTGATTGTGATTGGTTAAAAAGATGTCTCCATTTTGCAACAGAAACCTCTTTTAAACATATTAAGCCTTTTCACACAAAAATCATCCATATGAATACATTGATAGCCTACAAGAGTAGATACCTCTTATTTATACATTTCAAACCTATCGCTAAAGTGCTCTGTTCCAAATCAAAATAAGAGGTATCTACTCTGCAGTGGGACTACATAAAATTTCAAAACACAGTAGGTATATCTCCTAATAAAAACATCAGGCCCTATGTCAATGGCATGTGAGATAATCAAGCCTGGTAGAAAGAGGTGATGTGAAATGGGGTTTAACGTCGCGTCCAAGATTATTGCACTTATATAGCGACGTGCATGTACGTGTGTGTGTGTTTGTGTGTCTGCTTGTATTAGACTGATGCCGATTTATAGTGCTAGCTCACTGAGATACCATGCCGCAGTTTAACATGAATACCCCACTCAGACACTATATAATGACTCTGAGACGAACGCCAGACAGGGTAACAACAAGTACCATTTTTTAACGTCTTTTGGTATGACGTGGCCGGGGATCGAACCCCGGACCTTCCGCTCTCCGGGCGGACGCTCTACCACTAGACAACGGAGGCGGTTTAGAGGTAGAAAGAACCTATAACAAGAAGCAAGAAGACATCGGGATAATTGGGCTTAACTCTACCTTGAACAACATTTAATTTATATCAGCTTTGTGAAAAGAGCCATAAGTGATGCAATTTGTTGACTTTTACAAGTGGAACCCAAAACAACAAGCAATACGAGAACACCTCACCACCTTGAAATACAAGGAATAGGGAAAGCTGGAGAATCAGAGTCATTATAGATTCAACCTAACAACTCATACATACAAAATTTACAATTCTTCTCCGAGGTCCACAACTTCTCAAGGGCTGAACGAACAATCACTGTGCAGCATAAACTTGACACAGCAAAAACAATAACAATTTGTCTTGTCAGTGATTGGAAACACAGCGACCTGGCCATGTCCCAATAAAAGGGCTGGATGATTTGCTAAAGTGGCCGTTCCTCTCTGAATCAATACAGGGCTGGTCATAGATGTGTGGCCTAGCTGTCACAACCATAAGACTATAGGACTTGCTTTGATGACACTGTGTCATCCTGGACGAACCACTGCACCAAGATAACATTCTGCATAAATACATGTGTCACAGTAGCTTCTAAAACAGTAAAAACTAAATATCACAAAACAAAAGGCTTGTTTTTTATCTGTTTAGTGTTTATAACAGAGCAGTATATTGGGTTGACATTGAGCATTGAGGGTCAATATCAAAATGTTATGATATGTTGGCAAGTTGACATCAGCCATTGAATAAATAACTGACATTAAAATATATTAAACATTAAAATAAATATAACAGGAAAAATGCTTGGTACAGATTAGGTTAACACTGGCTGTAGGCTGTATGCATAGACATTGAAACAGGGTGTCCCATCGTCCAAGGTGCTGCAGGTTGCTGAGCAAACCTAACACATATGATCATGAGTTCAAATCCCAGATACACCCTGATTCTGTTTCTAGGTTGGTCAGCACCATACCCAAGATCGTGAGTTTCACCAAGATGGTAAACATCAAAGACCTGAATCAGTTCATGTTTTCTCCCACATCAAGCAGACGCACTGTCATATCACCTAAATAATGTTCAATAGCTGCATTAAACCAAACTCACTCACTCTGTAGAAACACATTGTCGTAACTGACATCTTGTTATTTCTATTTTTTTAAGTCAAATCTTGATCTTTTCAGAAATCAGTTCCTGTCACATAAAAACTGATGAAACGCTCATATTCAGAAAGACTCCGGTTAACACTACACATTAAAACAAACATGTGAACCATTTATTAACCAATATTGACAAATGTTCTCTATTTCCCGAAAACATTTGACTCAATTAACACCTCCATTTTCGTATTCCAGTTCAAATTTGGAGCCTTTCCCATCCAAAACCTCCTTCAGCATTAGAAAGGTTAATTGTGTCATAAAATAAAAACATAAACCACATCAAGTCCCAACTCCATGACTCTCCAAGAAATGGAATATTGAGCTGACTGAGTTAATTCAATACGTTGCCTTATGAGGGACTAAATTCAACTTGATTTCAAGTGGCACCAAATTGCCTTTCAAGGCTTTCCAGGTTTAATAGCAATTCAGACATTTGAGGAAATGGAACAATTTATATTATGCCTCAAGGGAGCTATTTGATCCCAGTGGCTGCCTTACCGACACAGGAAATGATACCAATGTTTTTTAATTACTTTGGTGTACTGACACATGCATTTACATCAATGTTTTGAAATTCCTCTCTTTAAAACATCAGGACAAATCAATGGATCCAGTCATTCCATTCAACAGGTTACTTTTGAGGCTGTCATGGCCATTTACCTCAATTACCACAACATAGAGGCAGTATTCTCCTGTAAAGGTAATTTGTGCAACAGCGTTACTGAAGTCATCGGATACAAATCAAAACCTAATAATATAGCAGTGAAATAAAACTTGGGTTTCAACAATTCCCGTTATTCCAGCAACCCCTGATACTATAATGAGCAAGTTGTCATTGTATATAATTCATCATTGTTTCTGTGCAATGATGCCCCTGTAATTTAACAAAAGAGGAATGAAATCTCAATTCTAGGAGAGGACGTTAAGCACACACACTGGAAAAACATTATCCAGACACTATCATCACAATCTGAAGACCACCAGACACTTTACCATCACAACCCAGGGACCACCAGACACTGTGCCACAACCCAGGACCACCTGACACTGTACCATCACAACCCCAGGACCACCTGACACTGTACCACAACCCCAGGACCGCCTGACACTGTACCATCACAACCCAAGGACCACCTGACACTGTACCACCACAACCCCAGGACCACCAGACACTGTACCACCACAACCCCAGGACCGCCTGACACTGTACCACAACCCCAGGACCACCAGACACTGTACCATCACAACCCAAGGACCACCTGACACTGTACCACCACAACCCCAGGACCACCAGACACTGTACCACCACAACCCCAGGACCGCCTGACACTGTACCACAACCCCAGGACCACCAGACACTGTACCACCACAACCCAAGGACCACCTGACACTGTACCACCACAACCCAAGGACCACCAGACACTGTACCACAACCCCAGGACCGCCACAACCCAAGGACCACCAGACACTGTACCACAACCCCAAGACCACCAGACACTGTACCACCACAAACCCAGGACCACCAGACACTGTACCACCACAAACCCAGGACCACCAGACACTGTACCGCCACAAACCCAGGACCACCAGACACTGTACCACCACAACCCCAGGACCACCAGACACTGTACAACCATAACCCCAGGACAGCAAGACACTGTACCACCACAACCCCAGGACCACCAGACACTGTACAACCATAACCCCAGGACCACCAGACACTGTACTACCACAACCCCAGGACCACCAGACACTGTACCGCCACAACCCCAGGACCACCAGACACTGTACCACCACAACCCCAGGACCACCAGACACTGTACCACCACAACCCCAGGACAGCAAGACACTGGACCATCAAACATTGTATCCAACTTCTTTATGAAGTCACTCAGGACAATGAAAAATCATGGGACAATCAAGAAATTAAGGTCAGGAAGTGAACAGTGTCTGCCTGCATGCATTATCAGTGCCTACAATCTACTTCCTTCTCAATCAATGCTATAGTGTCCATTGTTCCTTGAGGTCTCATTAAAACCAGTGTTCGATGAATATAGCACTTGGACCTGGAGGTTGCAACTCTCCTTACTCCCTAACGAGTAACTGTGCCTTGGTACATGGATCGACTGGGGGCTTTTGATTTACCACAACAACCCAGCAACGGATGATATCAGGCCTTCCAGGTGACAAAGGGTCATCAGTTTCAAATGCTCCTCGAAAGAACACCCAACACCCTCTGATCAACTCCCACTGTTCCATCCCAACACCCCGACACCGAAGGCTAAATAGTGGTAAAAATTGTATTAATCAGTGAGTGAGTGAGTGAGTTGGGTTTAATGCCGCTTTTAAAAGTATTCCAGTTAGCTTAATGTGGGAGGAAAGCCTGAAGTGATGCCGGTCTCAGACATTTACCACTTTGGTGAAATCCACAAGCACGGGTACGGTGCTGACAAACCTAGAAACATAATTTGGGCGAACCGGGATTCGAACCCACAATCATAGGTTTCCGGCGTGCTCAAGTGACGCAACTCTGAACAGCAAATTGCGGCGCCTTAGATGACTGGGCCACCCGTGCCCCCTATTAATCAGTCATGACACCAGGTGTTCTTGAAAAGGGTAAGCATGTCCTCGAAAACTTGTCACAGAAAGTCTGCTACACTGCAAAGCATGTACAGTTTATGATAAAATATGGTAGATGCGACAGTTGTTTGTGGACAGTCTGTTGAGTGAGTATGGTTGGAAGCTGCTTTCAGCAATATTCCAGCAATATCACAGTGGGGCACATGAGAAATGGGCTTCAAACATTGTACCCATGATAGAATTGAACCCATGCCTTTGGTGTGACAAGCAAATGTTTTAACCATTAAGCTACCCCACCACCCCAGCAGTCCTTTGAACCAGAACTAACACATGCTCAAGATAACGGTGCCCAACATGACCACAGTGAACATTGTTTCACATATATGTACATATAAAACTCTGTCTGGAAAGTTTCAATCAAACAATCCAAGCAGCAAAAAAAACCACCAATCAGTACCCAATGCATACTGTTGGCTACCTTGAAAGTCTCAACCAGCTGGAAGGGTCAGAGCCATGTTGATGCATGGCATATTCAGGTCCAGCAGAACAATAAATTGGGCTTCTCCAGTTCATTTCTCTAGGATCAAGTGTAATTGATAGGATTGGGAGAATTACTGAAGTTTCACCTACCATCAGTGACAAATCGGACCACGACAGGCTTCTCGCTGCCGGCTACGAAACCAAAACCTTTTTCTGGATCTCGAAGGAGCTCAACATCGCGGGGTTTCGGCGGTTCGATGTAGTCTGGGTCATTGCGGGGATCCTCCCGAGTCGTGTATTTCTCGATGTGACTGAAACATAACATAAATTTTTTTAAATTGTTGTTTCAGACATTATCCTGGCCAGATTCTGCCTGTTCTTCGCTTTATTTGTACACTTATGTACAAAAAGCAATGACGGAGCCAGAAGTTTTTATACAGTTGTCAATGAGTTCGAGGGTAAGACATATTACATCTAGATAATGCAGTCATTGATGAGACTGCACTGGTGCAGGTGAAAGTCAATTGGTGCAGCCTAAGTTTATAAGCAGAATTCACTGAGTGCAGTCGGTTAAATATTCCACAAACAGGCTAATAAACACCACTTCAAATTTATACCATGTATACAAGATCTAAACAAACTGATGTTATGTCAGGCTACAGTGTGTGTTCATATTTGGAGCAGGCACACCCAAGACAGTGGCAGAATGGAGCTAATGCTACAGTGAGTGAGTGAGTGAGTGAGTGAGTGAGTGAGTGAGTGAGTGAGTGAGTGAGTGAGTGAGTGAGTGAGTGAGTGAGTGACACAGTCAGCAGTACACCAGTGTTTGATAGCATGAACAAAGATCAACACTATGAGAGTACAATGACATGCAATCTTCCAACTTGATACCACCTGCTGCCATTACAGTAGGTGCAGTGTGACAAGGGACAGAAGCCAGCAGGTGATACACACATCTGTATTGGTAATACGACACATTATTCTACTTTCATACATGTTCTATCCATTGAGAAACAGTCCTCTCGAAGAAGATCCTTTGATCAGTCCGTAAAAAAAAATGCTCCACTTACAATAGTGACAATGGTCAGACGTTGGCTCCAACTGTCCACCAATCTAATAGTGTAACTATGTCCCATCCCTTAAACAGTCTACCATATACAATACACCATACTATTCCCCTGAAAACAGTCTACCATATATAATACACCATACTATGTCCCTGAAAACAGTCTACCATATATAATACACCATACTTTGCCCCTGAAAACAGTCTACCATATATAATACACCATACTTTGCCCCTGAAAACAGTCTACCATATACAATACACCATACCTTGCCCCTGAAAACAGTCTACCATATATAATACACCATACTTTGCCCCTGAAAACAGTCTACCATATACAATACACCATACTATTCCCCTGAAAACAGTCTACCATATATAATACACCATACTATGTCCCTGAAAACAGTCTACCATATATAATACACCATACCTTGCCCCTGAAAAGTCTACCATATATAATACACCATGCTTTGCCCCTGAAAACAGTCTACCATATATAATACACCATACTTTGCCCCTGAAAACAGTCTACCATATATAATACACCATACTTTGCCCCTGAAAACAGTATACCATATATAATACACGATACTATGTCCCTAAACCAGTCTACCAAATATACTACACCATATTGAGACCCTAAAACAGTCTGCCATATATAATGCACCATGCTTTGCCCCTGAAAACAGTCTACCATATATAATACACCATACTTTGCCCCTGAAAACAGTCTACCATATATAATACACCATACTTTGCCCCTGAAAACAGTATACCATATATAATACACGATACTATGTCCCTAAACCAGTCTACCAAATATACTACACCATATTGAGACCCTAAAACAGTCTGCCATATATAATGCACTATACTATGTCCCTAAAACAGTCTACCATATATAATACACCATACTTTGCCCCTGAAAACAGTATACCATATATAATACACGATACTATGTCCCTAAACCAGTCTACCAAATATACTACACCATATTGAGACCCTAAAACAGTCTGCCATATATAATGCACTATACTATGTCCCTAAAACAGTCTACCAAATATACCACACCATAATGAGTCCCTAAAACAGTCTGCCATATATAATGCACTATACTATGTCCCTAAAACAGACCACCATATATAATGCACTATACTATGTCCCTAAAACAGACCACCATATATAATGCACTATACTATGTCCCTAAAACAGACCACCATATATAATGCACTATACTATGTCCCTAAAACAGTCTACCATATATAATACACCATACTTTGCCCCTGAAAACAGTCTACCATATATAATACACCATACTTTGCCCCTGAAAACAGTCTACCATATACAATACACCATACCTTGCCCCTGAAAACAGTCTACCATATATAATACACCATACCTTGCCCCTGAAAACAGTCTACCATATATAATACACCATACCTTGCCCCTGAAAACAGTCTACCATATATAATACACCATACCTTGCCCCTGAAAACAGTCTACCATATATAATACACCATACCTTGCCCCTGAAAAGTCTACCATATATAATACACCATGCTTTGCCCCTGAAAACAGTCTACCATATATAATACACCATACTTTGCCCCTGAAAACAGTCTACCATATATAATACACCATACTTTGCCCCTGAAAACAGTATACCATATATAATACACGATACTATGTCCCTAAACCAGTCTACCAAATATACTACACCATATTGAGACCCTAAAACAGTCTGCCATATATAATGCACCATGCTTTGCCCCTGAAAACAGTCTACCATATATAATACACCATACTTTGCCCCTGAAAACAGTCTACCATATATAATACACCATACTTTGCCCCTGAAAACAGTATACCATATATAATACACGATACTATGTCCCTAAACCAGTCTACCAAATATACTACACCATATTGAGACCCTAAAACAGTCTGCCATATATAATGCACTATACTATGTCCCTAAAACAGTCTACCATATATAATACACCATACTTTGCCCCTGAAAACAGTATACCATATATAATACACGATACTATGTCCCTAAACCAGTCTACCAAATATACTACACCATATTGAGACCCTAAAACAGTCTGCCATATATAATGCACTATACTATGTCCCTAAAACAGTCTACCAAATATACCACACCATAATGAGTCCCTAAAACAGTCTGCCATATATAATGCACTATACTATGTCCCTAAAACAGACCACCATATATAATGCACTATACTATGTCCCTAAAACAGACCACCATATATAATGCACTATACTATGTCCCTAAAACAGACCACCATATATAATGCACTATACTATGTCCCTAAAACAGTCTACCAAATATACTACACCATAATGAGTCCCTAAAACAGTCTGCCATATATAATGCACTATACTATGTCCCTAAAACAGACCACCATATATAATGCACTATACTATGTCCCTAAAACAGACCACCATATATAATGCACTATACTATGTCCCTAAAACAGTCTGCCATATATAATGCACTATACTTTGTCCCTAAACCAGCCTACCATATATAATGCACTTTACTATGTCCCTAAAACAGTCTACCAAATATACTACACCATACTGAGTCCCTAAATCAGACCACCATATATTATACACCATGCTAGCGCTATGCCCCTTACAACAGGCTACCATATAATATACAGATCTAAATGTGATACTATGCCCCTTACAACATTCAACTATAAATAATACAGATCTAATGGTGATATTACATCTCTAACAGCTGAGGCAGTAAATACCGTATACGGACATTGCATCTCGTCTGCAAAAAAAAAAGACCTCATCCTTTCACAAACCAATTTCCCTCCTAAATCCCTCTTCTGTAAAAAGGATTTACAAATGTCTGGCAACTCTGTTCAGATTCTGGTACACTCCCTCACAACAAGACAAAAACCATTTTTCTGAATTCTTAAAAGTTCATTTTGATGAAAGAAATCTAAATTTGGAATTCCTGATACATGCACTCGCTGAAACCCAAATGCCAGTCAAGCGAGGTTAATGTCCCTTGAAGAACAAACGTGTGTCTGAGAAACGCAATTAATCTGGAGAAAGGACACCACATGGGCAACCTTTAAATATACAAAAGGATGTGTATGGTTCATTCATCATTAGGCCCATGTTTCCAGTCGGTCCTTATAACACTGTCTCTCGCAGACTGTCCCGTTATCAAAGAGTCCTGTAATCCGCAGAGCATGAGGGTACCTATACCACAAACAGGCTCACTTCAAGGCGTTAACAAATAATCAATACCCAGTCCATACAGACGACAAGTTCGAATCAAATCATTCAGTGCATGGTATTGAAAATGTAAATAGTAATTTGACTTTTACTAGCAGAAAGTAGGAAGAAGGATCGAAATGAAATGGCTTTAATCCAGCAGGAAATGTGGGCTGAACTTGTCAGACAGAACCATTCTGGAGGTCTGGAGTGAGTGAGTGAGTTGTGTATTACCCAACCTTTTAGCATTATTCCAGCCATAGTATGGCAGGGGCCACAATTATTTGGCTTTTGAAATTGTACCCATGTGGGGATTCTAACCCAGATCTTTCACATGACGTCCCAATACAATATACTGTGCCCCATTGCCATTCCCACCCCCAACCTTACCCGGCCCCTGCATGGCATGTCCAGATGTACTGGGAAAACCTATAGGATACCCTTACTATGAGTGAGTGAGTGAGTGAGAGTGGGTGGGTGGGTGTGTGTCTGAGTGAATGGTGAGTGAGTGAGTGAGTGAGTGAGTGAGTGAGTGAGTGAGTGAGTGAGTGTCAGAAATATATACAGCTATATCATTTCAGGTTTTTGAAAGGCATTTAGAAGTGATACACATAAGGAAGAGAATATATGGATGTCAACTTCTTTATTATGAAGAACACATTAATTTTGTTGTCCTTACATGTACATATATATGCTCTCTGCCTAATGGCATTTATTCATCTGATTCAGGAGTTAGCATATACTCCAAAACGTTGTGTTCCTCATAATAAAGAAGTTGACATCCATATCTTCTCCTCCTTATATCTTTTCAGGTGGGAACCAAAAACTAGTGGCAGGGGATATGGAGTGAGTGAGTGTGTTGGGTTTAATGCTGGTTTGAACTGTATTCAAGGTATATCACTGTGTATCACTTGGTGTGTGAAGAAAGCCCGAAGAGATGAAGGTCTCACTGAGTGAGTGAGTGAGTTTGGTTTAATG